AGGGTGGGGCTTCCAGTACCCCCATTCCCAAGCTAAAGCCCTCTTAGCAAATCAGATTCATCAGCCCTCTCCACACCGCCTCATCTACACACACATAGGCCTCCACATGAACTCACCCCAACCCTCACCCACACGGATCTATGCGTGAATCCACATACTCCCTCACACCTCTACCCACATGCACACACACAGTGCAGGCACTTCCTCATACAGCATGTATGCGCACAGAACCCCCACACATATGTGCACACGCATGCGCACTCACAAACCCACACACATCTGTGCATAGACCCCCACACCTCCCCAAAACATCACACACCCACTAGCACACACTCATATGACCTCCCCACACAAACCTATACATGGAAACACATGTGCATCTCCATATGTACACACACTCAGGCACACGCACACATACCCTCCAGAACATGTACATCACACACACACGCACACACACACCCCTCTGCAGTGTATGACTGGCCCTGGACCCACATGAGGCACATACCCTCTTCAGATGTGGCTGTTCATGGAAGGGGCAGTTGTCCAAGTTGGGCTGGGTCTTGGTACATGTGGTTCGGCCCAACTCCACGTCCAAGAAGTAGTTCACCCCAGCTACGATCTACACATGTGAAAGAGCAGGAGGCAGGGACGGCACGCTCTGTCAGTTTCTTACACACACAGGCACTTCACTGTGACTGGGTCACTGGGCTTGCCTGGGGCTTCAAGCCTACCTTCACGAGCTACCCACACTGTCACTTGCAAGGCACACAAGCCACCTCCTCCTGCCAGCTGGCAGGGATGCCATGCCCCAGGCCTCCCTGGTAACTTGTTTTCTCTATGCCAATGCCAAGGATTAACTGAATTCTGCTACCTATGACCCAGGGGGCAGGGACACTGGATCTATTCTAGGAAGGCTCTCATGTGATGATGAAATTCCGGCAAACTTCCAGTTCCTGGCATTCAGTCCACAGAGCATCTCATTCCTCTCATTTAACCCAGAGGTATTTTTCCTCATTTATCAATAGGAGATGAGATGCTCACATACATTGATGTTTTAGGCCAATAAACTGCTTCCCACATGCCTCCATTCCAGGTGTGATTTTGGAGGCAGTATTTCTAAAGTGAGTCTTACGGTTGCAACTTCAGAAGAGAACTGAATGCTTTCCCTGCACAGTGCCACCCCCAGACATGATCTGTGAGAACTGTGGAGAAGCATGGGATGAGGGACCCTGAGACCAGGGTGCTAGACCTTGCCCTGTGGAGCCACACACAAGTCCTGTAGAACCACATGCAAGTCCCGTGATCCCTCCGGTGTCAGTCTGCTGCTCTGTAAAATAGGTTCCAGGGTCCTACAATGCCCCGTGCTTCACTCCCAGTGAGAGAGGGGTGCAGGCCAGCGGGGATCCTACACCAGGGAACAGGGAGAGGGCCCCAGCTGACGGCTGCAGGAGGAGAAACGGGGCTGGTCTAGACTCCTCTGAATTTCCAACAGAAGGTGGAGGAGCTCTAAAGTCTGTGTCACTGTTTGTTGCTCTGCCATGGGATGCAGGTCAAGCTGGACCTGGTAGCCCTACTGAAGCTCCCTCCCGATCTGACCCCCTACTCCGCACTGCTGGGTGACTGCTGTCCTCATCTGGCTGAGGTCTAACTCTGCATCAGCTGGTAGAAGCAGGGTCAGGCATGCTCCACCCCAGCAGGAACTCAGCTGCCCTGGGCTGTAGGGGGTGGTCAGTCGGCCTGAGGGTGAAGGCCCCTAGTCCTAGAGGGCTGTGCCCAGGGGTGTCACTTGGGAAGGGAAGC